AAAACCAAAAAGAAGAAGAAGAAGAAGAAGAAGAAGAAGAAGAAGAAGAAGAAGAAGAAGAAGAAGAAGAAGAAGAAGAAGAAGAAGAATTCAAATGGGGAGAAAATTAGTTATAAGGCCATGCGAAACCTTTGGCTGCCACCGCCATCTTGAAATGGGTATATGATAAAGCGCTGTGTAGCCAAGTTAAACAAGTTAAAGAGATAAATGATGAAAACTGTAGGAGAGATGAGAGATCCTACAGGGGCAGGGGACGAGGCACAGACACTCTGCCTGGGTTCCAGACTGTACTCAGTCACAGTGGCAGTCACTCGGGAGCACCCAGCTGGATCTGGGGACCTATGAAGTAGACTGGAGACTAATTCCCCTCTGCTTATGTGAGTTTGGGGTCAGGGTCTAAGCCTGCTGAAGAAAAGATTTTTCATCTTAATTTTAAGTGACCCAGATTGAAGAAGAAACTTGACTACATACCTAGAGTTCACTAAAGTTGGAAACAACCTCACTCTATAGTCCTCCCTATGTATCTCTTCTCTTCTGTGTGGCTCATCCTCTGCACTTTCTTTCCTTATGTGGCAGATGTGATCATTCAAGCATGAATGTAACTCCTTGTGTAGACGCACCTCTAACCTTTATGGGACATCAGTAAACTTTCGTGGCATGAGAAGTCATTCTAAGACACAGTCGGTTTAAATAGCAGTGCTTAAGCTTGAAATTCTACCAGTGGGAAACCAGACTGGCTGCTGCTGGTCAGTTCTCTGGTCTCTGTCAGGTCATTTAGACATTCCCGGTCAGCTTCAAGGTCAGCTTCAAGGTCAGCGGGGCACTCTCTCACTAGGCTGCCTTCAGTGGGTAGCAGGCTGTCCTGTCCTTTCACAGTCAGTACCTGAGGAGGATTCCAGTAATCAAGTGACTGTATAGGGAAGAATCGGCCCAGCCAGTATCAGTCTACCGTTTCTGTTAGGCAAAATACATCATAAAATAATGCCAGAATCAAATGAAAATACATATGTTCTACTTCCTGAGAGGAGAAGCAACACAGTTAATTCACAAGACCTGTAGGTTCAAGAAGGACAATAATTGTGGTCATTTTTCAAACGGAGCCTCCCAGCTCTAGGAGGAGATCCACTGACAACAGAGATCCAGAGAAGGTGGCTTAGCTGTCTCAGATCCAAGAACCAGGGAGAAGTCTTCCATTTCTCTTATGGCTTCTTCTCTCAATCCAGATTCATGGGACGCAGAGGATCAAGTGCAGGGCATGGTCCCACCAGCTTTAACTGTGGGCTGGGAAGGTTAATAAAGACAAAATCCAGAAAAACAGGCGCCTTGTTTAAATGGCCCAATGGGAGGTTCCATCCATTCATAACACAGCCCCTATGCCGACGGCTCAGAGAACATTTCAGAAAAGGGGCCAGAAGAACTGTAAGAGCCAGAGGATTAAGACGTCTGCCGTGAAATAGTCTCTCCGGAAAAACAAGGACACGAAGTGGGAAGGGAGAGAAGGCGAGGCCCTGGGAGGAGCCGGGGTATGAATATGATCAAGGTACATTATATGACGTTCTCAAAGAATTAATAAAATACTGTTAAAATCACTTTAAAATCAAAACTAAAAGCATCTCTTTGTGTGTTACTTCAACTAAAGGTACGTGGCTGAAGTGGCGGGACAGCCTTCTGTACCTCCAGTGGCACTGCAATGTCCCCAGCAGGTCTAGCTCCGACTTCACACTTCCGGCCTCAGTTCTCCAGGACCGGAAACAGAGTCAAGAGACGTAAAGGATGGAACCGGAGAGCACATCTGACTAAGTGGGGTATCTCAAGCCCTTAGAAAAACAACAGCGAGGCAAACTCCAAGACAGTAGATGACAAGAAGTGATAACAGTCAGGGCAGAAATTAATGAAATCAAAAAACGACATATAGACATAGAGGGTTGGTTGAGGAGCTGGGTCTTTGAAATTAGAAACTGGCAAACTCATAGACAAATTAAATGAAATAAAGAGAGAAGATTCAAATTAATAAAATTAGACATGAAAAGAGGAGGATTACAACAGAGTCCAATGAAATGCAGAAAATCATTAGGGAATACTTTGAAAACTTAAACAAATGAACAACAAAAACCTAGGAAATCTAGAAGAAATGGGTAAATTCCTCCTTGTCATATACAAACTACCAAAATTAAATCAAGAGAATTTAAATAGCTTAACTAGATCCATAAAAATCAACAACATTGAAGTGGTAAATTTTAAAAATCCCCCAATGAAGAAAAGTCTAGGGCTGGAAGGTTCGCTGTGCAATTCCACCGAACCTTTGAAGGTGAATTAACATCTAAACTGATCAAATGCTTTCAGAAAATAGGAAAGAAAGGAACATTACCAAACTCATTCTGTGAAGTTGCGTTGTCCTGATTACAATATATAATATAATATATATATATATATATTATATCATAGAATTTTTTAATGAAATTCTTGCAAACTGAATTCAAAACAACAACATCATCAGCTGTGACCAAGTTGGTTTCATTCCAGGGATACACGAATGATTCAGCATACACAAATGAGTATGGGGGACACAACACATAAAAGCATTTAAGAACAGAAATCACACGGCCATCTCAATAGATACAGAGAAAATCTTTGACAAAATTAAATTACATCTTCATGACAAAAGTCCCAAGGCAGGCAGATCTCTGTGAGTTTGAGGCCAGCCTGGTCTCCAAAGTGAGTTCCAGGAAAGGCGCCAAAGCTACACAGAGAAATCCTGTCTCAAAAAACCAAAAAGAAGAAGGAGGAGGAGGAGGAGAAGGAGGAGGAGGAGGAGGAGGAGAAACTGAGGAAGACTGAGATGGGGAAAGCTCCCATGCTCATAAATTGGCAGAATTAGTATTGTAAAAGTGTTATCTTACTGAAATTAATATTCAGTGTATATCCCACCAAATCCCCACTGACATTCTCCCCAGAACTAGAGAAACAAGCCTAAAATTCCTATGGAAACACTAAACATCTGGAGTATCCAGAACAATACTGAGCAGACACTGCAACTGTCACAACATCTGACCTCAGATCATACTAGAAGAGTGAGAGTGGTTCCCTAGGTCATATCCTGCACAAAAATCAATTCAATAAATACATAAATAGTATGTTAATATAAGACCTGAGACTGAGACTACCAAGTGTTATCATGGGTAAAACACGTCAAGATACAGACAGAGTTAAGGGCTTTCTGAAAAGGACTCCTACTGCACATGAAATAAACCCAAGAACGGACAATGAAATATAAAGGTTCTTCAGAGCAGAGAAAACAATCACCAAAATGAAGAGACAGATTAGCAATGGGGGAAAAAGCATCTTCCAATTGTGTATCAGACAGGAGATCACTCTTTATAATACATAAAAAACTGCAAAAATTAACTCTCAAAAAAAGCAAAATACCTAGTCAGTAAAGA